ACTTATTGCACTTATTGCATTTCGTGCATTTTTCACGTGATCGGACATGATATCCGGTAGCACAATATCCGTCGTCACAGTATGTTACAAATTTTATTTCTTAGTTTAAGCAGGTAATAAATATCTTAGTCTGTAAGCACAGAATCATTGAAATTGAATCAGCCATCCTCGATTTATTTAATGATATGCTAAAGGAATTAACATGTAGAAGGTAATGACATATTATCGTACAAGTATTATGCAACAACCTGTGCTTTTTTCGAAAGCTTATTCGCACGGGTATATATTAAAATCACATGCTTTTTATAAATACCTAAACCACCCCGAATTTTCACTTTCACATGATGATAATCCAATAGCGAGTTTCGTTTTAATGTAACGTTACATAATCAGGAATAGGGGCCTGCAAATTGCCTATTTTTGAGGCCCGGCCCGGCCCGCATTTAGGGTTAAAAATTTTTTTCTGGCCTGGCCCGGCCCGCAAAAATTTCTTATATAATTTTACAAAATTTTAGGCTCGCACTGGCCCGCAATTATAAAATTTTGCAAATTTTTCGGCCCGGCCCGCAAAAATTTGTGGGCCGGGCCGGGCTGCGGGACCCAACGCAGGCCTCTAATCAGGAAGATCAAAACAAAACGTTCGCTTTTCAAAAATGACTTATTTTTCAAAACTTTCATAAGAAACCACCGTTTGCGCTCTAACAAAAAAAAATTCCTCGAAAGATTTTACTATTACTTTTTCAAAACCTAGCCCTATTATAAACGCTAATCCTAACTTAAACGAATCTAAAGGTTTTAAACGCTGTCACATGAAAGTGAAAATTTTGACAGCGATACAATAGGTTATTTTCACAAAAAGTTAAGGCAAAATTCATTTTTTACTACGAACTATGTAACTTTAGGTATTATTTTAAAATTCTCATTTTGGGACATGTATTAGGTCGTAGTTGTTTAAAATTCTATAAGGACTAATATTAGGTAGGTAGTTTTAAAATTCTTATTTACTAACGAAGACTAATATATGTATTAAATCAGGTTGTTTTTTTTAAAAAAATTCTCATTAGTTACAAGACTAATATTATGTCAAATAGTTTTTAAATTCTTATTTGCTTACGAAGGCAAATTATGTCAGGTAGTTTTAAATTCTTATTTGCTTAGTTGGTTTTTTAAAATTCTTATTTACTGGATGAAGATTAACATTAAATCGAATAGTTTTAAAATTCTTATTCGTTAGGCGAAGACTAATTTATATCTAGTGGTTTTTATTTATTAAGTGAATGTTAATATTAGGCTGAGTAATTTTTCTAGTCCTTATTGGCTGGTCGAGATAATATTCGGTCGAACAGTTTTTAAAAATCTTATTTGTAAGATGAGGACTATTATGCATTCGAATGAAAAATATTGCTTTTTTTATTAGTTTGAAAAAATGTTATTTATTTCTAAATAAAAAATTCATTTACAATGCCTTCCGTTCTTTATTTATGATTTTGAAATAGTTCAATATTTACAACAATCAAGTGGTTTTTTGCAACGAAAAACTAAGCTCAAGTGTATCAAAAGTTTTATGAACAAGGAATAAGAAAGGTAAATTATAAATTAAATAAGTTTAAATAATTAAATATATTGTTTAAAAGAAGCGACGACGGATTGTTACGTCAGACCCGTACAATAATATAGTTATTATATGGATATCCGGGAATAACTAATTACACACGGTTTATATCCAAACCACATGGCCTTCGGCCACATAGCTTGAATATAAACCCGTGTGTAATTAGTTACACCCGGAAATCCATACAATAACTATAACTTACCTAATCAAAACATGTGAAAGTAATGGACATAAATTATCGCCCTAACAAATAAATAATAAATAATTAATAACCCATAATGTAGGTCATTTTTTATGATTTGATCAACTTATATATGATCACCTTATATAATTGGATTTACGAGGTTTACAAATTTAACGTGTAGAAATAATTTTTTTAAATTACATAAAATGGGTAACTTAGGTAAATTTGGACGAAAATCAATTTCAGTCATAACATTGATATAAACAGTGCAAAACAAAAACAAAAGAAAGTCAAAAAATTTAAAAAGTTCTATAATAAACTATATAATTTACTCTAATAAGAATATTTTACTTTATAATGAAATATATTTTTGTTCTTATAGTTCTTATTTTCATCGTCCATAGTCTGACAATTCATGCAGCTCCTCTTCATGAAGGTAATTAATTATTTTCATTTATATCTCATATCTTTATTTTCTTCTCAGAATTTGACAATCATTTGTAGTTAAATCTAGTCATCATATGAAACGCTGTCTTGGTGGTGGTTATGGTGACTGTATCGAGGATGACCGATGTGAAGACGATTATGACTGTGAAAAGCATTTGGTTTGTTATGAAGGGTTTTGCAAGAAACCGAAAGCTTCTGAATTTATAGACGATAATTCTGAATTTATAGACGATAATTCTAAGTTTATAGACAATAATTCTGAGTTTATAGACGATAATTCTGAGTTTATAGACGATAATACCGAGTTTGTAGACAATAATTCCGAGTTTGTAGACAATAATTCTGAGTTTGTAGACAATAATTCTGAGTTTGTAGACAATAATTCTGAGTTTGTAGACAATAATTCTGAGTTTAGAAGTGATAATTCTGTGTTTATAGACGATAATTCTGAGGTTATGTACGAAAATTCCGAATTTATATACGACAAACGATTACAGTAATTTGAAACAAATTATAATATATATAAAGTTCTTTATTTCTTGCCATATTTATAAATAGGTAAATGCAATTCTTTACTCCCTGTAACTTAGTCAATCTATAATTTGTTATCATAATTTTTCAACAATAGTATAGTTTCTATTTAAAAAATAACAATTTCAATAATTTCTAGTCACTATAATTTTTATTCAAATTTTCTTTGACAGTTATTATGCTAATATTTGATAATCAATGCTATTTTTAAATGCTACACAATAATACTTATTCTTTAATAATTTAGCAAAAAAATATATATATAGTGAATTTATAAAATAAAGCCATATAAACTTATCTAATCGGTTTTCATATTCCGGCCAGTTCGGCTGAACGGAAATCCAAAATTTTATCTTTTAATATATTAATCGATAGTAATCCTTCTTCACGCATATAATGTGATGAAAACAATGTTTTATCGTTGAAATTTTTGTTAAATAGTGACAGTTTCAATTTTTTTATTTTCTAATTCTTATTTATACTTTTATACTATTTTATCGTGATCATTTCCGGATACAGGATGATCAAGAATTTTCACCTTTTTGTTTCAATGATTATTACGAATTGTTTTAAACTTGTAGAAATGTTAATGAAAAGTACCATTGTTGGTTAAAGAAGAAAAAGGAGGAAAATAGAGATGTCTTGTAATTTTAATAAAGCTAAACTGGACAATAACATATACATATTTGACCTATCGTAATATGAGTATCATCTAAATGTTAATCAGCAAAATATTGTGTAATGAGTAATCAGAAAGTATATATACTCGACCCCAATAAATAATGATGAAATTTATTTTATCAACACTCATAATATATAACTTGAACTAGAATACACTTGATTTTATTTCAAGAAGAAGCCCATTTATATATGTTGAAGGTCGGAATGGAATTATTGTATATTGAGAATCTACTTAGGTTGATTCCAAATCACCTCAATTAATTAAATTTTTATTCGTGTTGTATTTTGATTAAAATACATAAATTATGTAAGAGTTACAAGCTAGCTATTTAAAAGTTTATGAGGTGTCAACAGACATGATAAATCAACTATTTCAAACAGGTTGGCTTAAACAATAACTGTTCAGGTCCCGAGTCAATATAGTTTTTACTTAACTAGTTAACATCTCTAAAATAAGTATAGAATCATAAAATGTGCCCAAGTCGTTAAAGAATTCCAATTCAACTTACGATTAAGTTAAGTGTATTTCAAATTATTTCATCGGGTATATTGTTTTTGAGATTTAAGTCGTTTTAATTAAATTTGTAAGCATTGCATTAAGTTTTTACATCTATGATTGGTGGGATAATTTACAATGATTTTTGTTACATGCGTTTTCGCAATTGCATTTAATATTATCTACAGTATCTGTGAAGAGGATTGCTTTTGAGCTACGAAACTTGAGATTCTTGAAGAAAACAAGTTCGTTATAGAAAATTATTAAATTTTTTTAAGAAACCATTAGACTTTTTATTGTAAAATTTCAAAATTTTGAGTTTATTATATCCAGCATTGGCTGCACTATCTAATTTTGGAAACTTTCAGAATCCAACGGTTCCAAATTTAGTATCAACTTTAGTTTCGTATCAACTCGGACTCAGTGTTTAAAATTAAATGAAAGTTGCAAAATTGATACTAATTTATATTTTTTTTGTTCAGGTTTTTTTTCTTAAAAATTTATTTACACATGCGTATAAACTTTTTGCACATTGAAAAAAAAACTCTTACACATGTGCATCATGTCCATGCCACATTTGGATTCTAAATCTATGAGAGTTTCATTCCGATGTACAACATATATAACGATAATCGTTACACTGAATCCTCCTAGCATGATCGCCAAAATCATTAATGAAACGCCAATTAAAGATAGATCATTGTAGTTATTAACTAAATAAAAATTTAATTAAAAAACGGCAGATGATGCGCAAGTCTCCTAAAATTTTTTTATGCGAATCAATTTTCGTGCCGAAATCTACCCGAGTCATATATAATCTTATTGATTTTCAAGAGCTGTTTAGATCCTTTATATTGTAAAAAAGAGATTTATCATAATAATTTTATATTTTTAATTTGATTTGTTTTCGGAAGGTGCGATTATTAAATTTAGCCAGTTTCGGTAATACTCAATTGAATCCATAAATTGTATTAACTGTAGTTTTACGTAAGGATGTTAAAAGCTCAATCCGGATCGGCCTTTTGAGCAGAATTTGAGATTGGACTTGCATTCATGTTTAGGGGAAATTATATATGATGAATGTTATTTTTCAATTTTCACCGATTGAAAAACGACTCGAGTCAATTATCAATGCAGACTTATAATGACACAATTATAATTATACGTATCGGCATAGGAATCAATAAGGGGTTTTAAAATTAATGTTTTGGTTGAGTCAATAGAAGGTGTCAAGTTAATGGTTTGACATCCGATTTCAGATAAATAAGTTGTGTATTTACATTGAACTATGTGATATATAAATACTATTTTTTTTTTAGCGTATAGACTTATTTACATAAACGTTTACCGATAAATGGATCTGCCTTAATTCACTGACACTCATTTGTAGTGTTATTGGCAAGCCATAACGAAACGGTGAATGTTACATAAAGTACCAGGCAAATCGAAAATGTGTGCTATGTATGATCACGTGATTGTCCGGAAATCAATCTAAACGATCATTAATGATATCATCGATTATTTAAATAAATAATACTAAATAGTAATTATCTTAAACGTAAAAGTGAATTATTTCCTTTATTAATTCACTTCATTTTTCATTTACAGCTTGCTTCATATTTCACTTCATTTTTCATTTATAGCTTGCTTCATATTTCGTTTCATATTTCACTTCGTACAAAAAAAAAAAAAAAAAACAATAATAATGATAATAATAACGCAAACCTATTCGTTTAATTAAAAAATTATACTGAACTAATGAAAAATAATAAATATTTGGTGAATTTGTGCGTAGATCTTAACTGTAAAGAAGCTGCTTTAAATTGGTTAAGCGAATTTCAGAAAATATCAAAGACTACTATGCAGCACGAAAAAAGCTGAATCTTTATTATCAGGAAAACTGGCTGCTTATCTCTATCAACGAAATTCTACCATAAAGGCTGAATCATTACGAAGTAGAGCAAAACTTCGAGTACAACAAATGAAGAAAGTGTAAAATGTCAACCCGACTATAATGAAAAACATAAAGATACTTTCAAAAAAAAACAATGTTAATAATGTGAAGGTTTTTAAACGTCATGTATTGTAATATTTGCACGAAGTACATAACCAATGAAAAAGAAATATGTAAAATTAACTATGTGCTAAATAAAATTTCCGGATATTCATTCCGGTCTATCACATGATCACCGGAGCAACAACCTGGTACACATTTTCGGGTTTCGTAATATTTGCGCGAAGTACATAACCAATGAAAAATAAATATGTAAAATTAACTATGTGCTAAATAAAATTTCCGGACTATCACATGTTCACCGGAGCAGCAACCTGGTACACATTTTTGGGTTGCAAGTACCAGATTTACAAAAAGCTTGGCCTCATTTGATTTGAATGAACCCTCTTAGCATCACCACCTAAAATATTTCGCTACTACTTGCCAGCCAATCAGATTTCAAGATCCGGTGTAACACGAAAAACCACAAAAGATCAAAACAAACCAAAAAATCGTTCATAACATTTTACTTTTGAAACTGCTTTCTGCGCACCAACATTAAGTTTTTCCTTGCGAAATTTTGGTATTATGGAGCTCTTGCTAACTTAACTTAATAGCAAACCCTAATCTTAATTTAATTGCCAAATTTTTTAGCTATATTTTTTGTGTAACATTTCGTTCTATCATCAAATCAAATTAATGCTTGCTATGCTGCGCAGCGTTCCATCTTTAGATACAGAGCGTATTGTTTATTGCTTCAAAGAGAAAAAAGTATCTAATAGTAAAAAATGCTCTAGTTAATAAACTTTTTGTATTAGACCGTTTTACATTATAGCCAAATTTATGTCATAAAACTTGTACACTATTTCAATCGTCAGGAAATCAAATCTAGGTTTATGCTTAAGAACGAACCCCTTTAGTTTCCTGTTTCTTTGATTTAATGTGTTCTCAAATATCGGGTTCCCTAATTTCTTCCACCACTTCACTATAGGATAACTATAAAATTGACTGATGACAGATACTCCGATATGTGAATAATTAGTAGAACCAATATTATTTCATAGTGATAACATAATCTTAGATAGTTTCATAGTATTTTAGATAAAATTCAATAATATAAACAACGATATTATTGAGATATGCTCAAGCATTACTATAATTGTTATTTGCTAATGCTAATAAACTTGGTGGTATTCAATTGCTACAATATATTCAATCGACGCTTGAGTATATTATAAATGGGTTTTAAAAACAAAACAGAATAATAGCAATACGTTAGTGTATTGATAACGAAGGTCATAGTAATCAGAATGGTTGAATAGTAATTCTATTTACTTTAATAGAGTCTGAGAACCCAGTACCAAAAAAAAAGGCAATTTGTGAGTTACATCCAGAGTACTGCGTAAGAACATTCTAAGTGGTTTTTTTTTTTTTAAAAAAAAAAGCTCGGTTATTAGGGTTATTTGCTACAATTTTTGGTATTAATAAATAACGAAGTGTTCAACTTCAATCAATTCTTTAGGTTAGCAATGTTATATTTTTGTTCCAAATCTTTACATTATTTACAATTTCAACCGGGAGGCGAAGCCCACATCTGTAACTTCTAGTTAGTGTAAATAAAATGGCAAGTGTAAATCATTCCTTTTTATGTAATTACCAGGAAATTTATTTGATGACCTTACATATAAAAATAAATAGTATCGTATAAAAAACCGGAAAGATAGATTCAACAAAATTAAATAGTGGTAATAATAAAAAAAAAGTATAATTAATTTAATTGATATAAAATTAAAAAAAAAAATTACTAATAATTATAAGAAAAATTTTTAAACCTCATTCCCGGGCAACGCCCGGGTCTAAGAGCTAATATAATACAAAGATCGTTATCTTTGTTTTTAATTTTAATGCAATACGTCGCACAGCAACCTTATGCAATAAGATGTTTAAAAAATAACGATGAAATAAAATTTAACGACTAATTAATAATAACAATGCGGCGAGACGTTATAATAAGGTAAATAAAAAAAATTAAAATTGTATTAAATGCTACAAAAACTATTTATATATACAACAACAGTCATTAATATTTTGTTGTGGATAAAAATTTATTATTCGCGATTAATAATTTTTTGGACAGGTTTTGCCAGCTTCACATCGTTTAGCCATCTTTTCGCTATATAGTTAGCCAAATTCATCGAAGGCTTTTCAACGAGTATGTGATATAACCAAGAAAGAATAATCGTCAGTAAATATGATATCATCACTGCATCTAACATATTATTGACCTTCTCCCGTTTATCAGGCTCCTTTTCCGCGGCACTTATACCAATCCATGTCAAGTATTCGTTCACGAATGTCAATGCAATTGGATGTAATAAATATATACTAAACGAAATCTGTCCACAAAAACGTAGAAAATTACTTGAGCATGCATTAACAAATGAACTGTCACGAGAAAGGAGGCCTACAAGAATTAATATAGCATAGAGAAAACCGCCAAAATTATTTTCTAATTTAACCTCATATCTCTCATATTTCGTACGAGGCATTCCTAAAATCTTTTCAGAAAAATGAGGAAACGTACAGAAGATCATAAAAAGTGTGATATAACACGCCAAGTCAAAAAACATCCTAATGAGCTGATTGCGACTAGGCAATTTCTTAATAATCCGATTCATAAAGTTCAAATTTGTACGAGTAACCTCATCAAAATTATTGGATTTGCTAATTAATAAATTTTCTTCTTTCGAGCTCAGTGGTAATAGTCCAAGGCGAATTATTTCCCTGTACCAAATTGAACTAATTGTACCCATCAAAAAAACATGAAGGTTTGTTGTCAGATATCGTTCATGATGGTCTCCATATAATGATAACAATTCTGTCCGGATAATCATAAGAATTATGTTACAAAGTATTCGACATATCCATGCCCCAATCTTTGGCCTTCTAAATAAATGATTTGTAAGGTATGCACTAAACCGAGTCAATTCTACATATCCAATGACAATTATTGGTATACATAAATAGTACTATATTGTATATTGAATATTTAAATGAATTATTGTTATTAATTGCTGTTATTACTTACAAATATAAGAAAAATAAATGTGTTGTTATAGGGTTAAATACCTTCATTTCAGTAGGAATGGTCCAGAAAATAAATTTTGCTTCTTCTAACAATAGATGAGGGACTAAATTTGAAGGATTTATACGTTCATGATATGCTCTTCTGACAAAGTCATTATATGCAATAATAGTTAAAAGAATCGCGTAAGGTGGGTATACTCGCATAAATCGACGTAGAAAGAATTTTAACCAAAGCTTTATTGCAATTTGATGTTTTATCGGTATTTTCAATTGAACATAGAATAATATCTTGTAGAAAATATTATATTTCGTTTTCGTTGAAGATATATTAGTCTGTAATATATTAATTAATTTAAAAGATTAAAACTTTTAATATATGAAAAATTATAAGATTAAGCACGCCATAAGCATCTTTTAAAATGAAAAATAAAATTACAAGATTATTGCAATCCGTTTTTGATAAAAGTGGAACGTCTGTTAAATCCGCTTCTAGGTCAATTTTACTTTCTAAATCATTCTTACTTTTTGAATTCGTATCAATATATTTTTCAGTGTTTTCATAATATCGTTCCCAATCCATCATTGATCGAAAAGTAAGTAAAAAGGCCGAAAGTACAAAAAAACATCTCACTCCAAGATAACCAACGTAGTTAAATGTTGTGAATGGTAATGACTGGTTGTAAAACCTTTGTGAATGTTCGTATATGACGCATAAAGCTGCTACACCACGAATGCCATCAAGAAATGCTGCATGAAATATATTTTGATTTTGTTTTGAGCCTAAAACTGAACGAGACATTATTGTATTTTTTATACTTTAGTCCAATGTTTTTAAGAATTGTTATATTTATAATAAACTTTTTTCTAGAAATTATATTCTTCCGTTTTAAAATCTGATGTTACCTTTACATAATTTATGATCATCACTGTAATACGATTTGAATTTGATATGGATTATTAATTTAGTATGAATGTACATCCATTTTAACATAGTCGGGTTAACAAATTTAGTAATATATGGTAATAAGAATTCATTATTCTCATACTTACTAACAAGAAGTATAGTCATAACACTAACTATCTGCAGATATTATAACATACTGATATATTATTATAAGTGTATATTTGTCTTTTCTTAAACCCCATGTAATTTCTTTTATGTTTCGACTATACACTACACTCAACATCAGTTATTTATGAATGTAAATGTGTTTCGGCTTTTCTAAGGTCTAAGGTCCGAAACATTTCGGTAGGCAACCAACTCCGATTGTTAGTAATCAATAACCAATAAGTAGCTGCGCGACGTTGTCACGCAAAACAAGGAACGGAAGGTGGATTTTCAGATCGAGTTTCAGATGAAACTGCTTTCGTCATAAGTTTTTTGTTTGCTTAACTTT